AAGTCAAGGTCTCCCCATAGCACCCGAGGAACAAATCCCTGCTACAAGCCAGCACACAGACAGAGTCCATGCTGAGATTGTTGAGAAGGCAACAAACCATCTCTTGCTTACCATAAGATGAGGATGAGCTGCTGTGAGATCCTTTTAAGGGAGTTGCAATGCCCGGCCCTTGTGGGAAGAGGTAAGTGCCAACTCCAGCACCCTTCAACAAGCAGCACACATGGCTGCTCCTCTGGGGACTCCCACTCCTGGTGCTGCCCACCGTCTACCCCTGCGTTCCAAGGAGCGCACTCTGCCATGAGCAGGCAGGGGATGGGAGCTGTTCATTTCCATTGGGCTCATCTCATTTCTCCTCCCATGCTCTCCTTGCTTGTGGGAGGGGCCGTGGGGGCAGGTGGCTCTGGGTGCCCATGTGCAAGTCCCCAGAGGACTGCTTGCCCTCTCATCTATAGCCTGGGGTCAGGGAGGGGGTAGATAGTGGAAAGAGTAGGTTTTCTTTTTTTGCTTTTTGTTTTTAACTGAAATGTAGAGTGTTTTTTAAGACCGGTTTCCTCACTCCTGAAGTGTGCAACCTGCAAGTGCAGTAAGGCAAGTTTAGGTTGGATATTAGGAAGAATTTTCTCACTAGGAGGGTAGTAAAACACTGGAACAGGTTACCCAGAGAGGTGGTGGAATCTCTATCCTTGCAGGTTTTTAAAACCCAACAGTTCAAAGCCTTGGCTGGGATGATCTAGTTGGGGATGGTCTTGCCTTGAGCAGGAGGTTGGACTAAATGACCTCCTGAGGTCCTTTCCCTAATTTTCTATGATTCTAAGCGTGCATAGTACCAAGCAGGATAAGTTAAAATAAGCTTGAGGAAACATCATCAGCTATCTGAATGATAATTGGACTGTTGGCATCCTGTATTCTAGCCACAGCTCTGCACTGACTTTCAGACAAATTACTTCAACTATTCTAGCTTCCATCCCTATGAAGTGAGGGCAATAACATACTCCTTGCTCACACATGCTGTGAGGCAAGATCTGTCATGTTTTCACAACTTTTAAACATTCAAAATGCTATGAATAATTCCAGTTCCTATCAAAACTTTTGCACAAAAAATTGCACCTGGCTCAGCATCTAAAAGTAATGTATTTATTCTAATCTTCCAAGACTGTATTCAAGGTTAGGGCCCACTGTGCTTGGTGATTACACTGTGAACATAGACAGATGGCAGCATGCTGTGGGGGTCCAAAAGGGAACACGAGGGCTTCCTCTTTACATTCTCTTCTCTGAGATTCATTAATTGTCTGCACTGGACTGCATTTGCTGTTCGTTAGCTTTTGGTGCATTGATTCGCAGCCAGAGTTCCATGAGATCTTTTACAGGAAGGGGGGCCTCAGGGTACAGAGAAGTAATCGCTGTAATAAAGAAATTAGCTTCTGAAATGGAGCGCTGCTAAATTCAGAAAAGTTATGGAGGGGGCGCCTTGAGTATAAAAAGTTGAGAAGCTCTGTTTTAAACTGTTTCAGCTGCCATACGAAGTGCTAGCTCCTTCAACCTCCCTGCCTTCCCCCACCCCCCTTCCCTTATTTTTCTTCTCTGGCTTTCTGGTTCACTCTTTGTACTGTGCAGTCAGTACCAACTTGGCACTGATCCACTGACTGGAAGGCAGACCTACCTCCTCTCCTGTCCAACTTTCAGAAGTTCCACAGGAGGTCATGAAGTGGCTATTTTCCTTGGGGAGATACGCTGGATACATGTCTGCTGACGGTTGTTTCAGTTTCTCTGGATGTGCTCACTCCCCCTGGTAGGGCCTCTTTCTCTTCTCTCAGGAGTTTGGCCCAGGGAGTGGTGAAGAATATTGTTAGCAATCAGCAGTTACAGACAGTACAGAATCTTCCCCTAGATATTGAGAGAGCATCTCCCCCTAGATATTGTAAAGAAAAGGAGAAATTTTAAAGTTGGAGCTTGGAGCAAGAAATTTCACTCTGCACTAAGCACTAAGCTGCTTCCCAGCATTAAGCACAAATGGAAGACTAATTCCACAAGAGTTACCTTTATAAAAAAATCCATCTTTAATATCTCTTCCCCATATCTTTGTCCTCAAGAAAAAGAAAATGTTAAGGTGAAAAATAGCTAGGTAATTCTTTCTAGTTTATGTGGTGCAATTAAGGTGAAATGGAAGTTACCTATCAAGCTTTACTTGTATGTCTTTGCTATTATGCCTAAGATCATTTTGCAGTCACCTTTTAAGTAAAAACCATAGTCATATTAATCAAGGAAAGTATTTCTGCTTAACCCACAGAAGGAGAATAAGATCACCACTTGGATTAAGTTTAGATACAGTAGTATGGGCAGATCCAGGATTTTGAAAACTGGGGTGTGGGAGCAGTGACTAGTGCTGTAGAAATGGCTGCATCCCTGTTTGTGGCTTCTTCTCTTGCCAACTGAGGCAGACAGACTACACCATGGGAGCAGCAGCCAGGGAGTTGGGTTGTTTTTTTAAAGTCCTTGAAGCATCTGTTCCTCTTAGTGCTCAGTGGTGCTTCCCCTCCACTCCCATTCCCCACTTCCATGTCTGTACTTATGCCTCTGGACACAAGAAGAGGGTTGTCTGCTGCCGTCTCAGCTGCTGCAGCCAGGACTGCAGGATGCTGCCTGCGCAGGGAATTGGGTTCTGCTGTGAACAGCAATTGTGGCAAGTCTTTTTGCCTCCCTGCGCTTGCATCCAGGCTAGCAGGGAACACCGGGGAGGACTGGACAGGGAGGGAGAATGTGCCTGCTGCTATTGCCACTGTCCCGGGCTGAGCCCCACTCTCTGTGCAGCTGCTTCCTGTAGCCCTGGCTTGAATGTGACAGGACCAGATCTGGGACTCCCCTTGCCCCTGCTTTAACTGGGGAATGCAGCAGTAGCCTGCAGGTCTCCCCTTCCTCTGCTCAGAGATGTAATTGGAAACAGGGAGTGGGAAATGGGAGCGGAGGGAAGGGAAGATGCCATTGAGCACAGAGGGAATGGGAGAGGATGCTGAGATAGAGAAGGATTTGTACTTGCTTTGGAGACTTAAAAAAAAAAAAAAATCGCCCTGACTGTTGCTCCCATGGGGTGATCTAGACCAGTGGTTCTCAACCTTTTTTGTACCAGGACCCACTTGTAAACAGCAATGGCCAGTCCTAACCCAGAGCCCCTCGCTCCCAACCTGCGGCCTTCAGGCCCTAGCTCCCCCAGTGTGTGGTGCAGGGAGTCCCCAAGCAGCCCCTTTCAGGCTGGAGCTCTGCCAGCCTGCAATGGTAAAGCCATGGTTTCCCACATTTTTCTTCTTTAAAGGAGAATCCATTTTTTAAAGTTTGTTGATCTGTTTTTAAAGTTTGTTCATGACCCTTTTGTATATTTTAGCAACCCACTTTTGGGTTGTGACCCACGGGTTGAGAGATGCTGATCTAGACTCCACAGTGGTCCAGGGCTGCAGGGAATAAGAGAGCTACCAAGCTATACTGTGGAAGGAGGGGGTGGTAAGTGCACCACCACACTGGCCCCCCCCCCCCTCCCCCCGGAGAGTAGTGACTGCAGATTCTTGTTGTGAAGGTTTTTCTACAAGCGGGAGACTTGTAAGCAGGTTTCCTAGGACTGATGCATTACCTGATTCTGATTGTCTTTCCATTCAAAACTTATAAAAATGTATCTCAGAGAAACTGGAAATACATTAGATTTTATCTGGGTTTCCAAACATTTTGTTGGTAAGCTTTCCGGGGAGTACAGAGACAAGGCAGTTGCTAAGGATTTGGGCAAAGGCAATCCACTGAGAGAATCTTCAAATTGTTGCATCTCAGCAGTTGCTTCTGAGGCTTCTGTCCCTACAGATTCCAGCATAGAGATGGCACGTTAGAAGGAGGCCATTGCTGATCTTTGTAGGAATTAGAAGACCCAGGTTGGGATTGTCTGGAAAATTGTCCAATTCTAAAGCTCCTAAGTCTGCACTCTTAGAGGCAGTTTAGGATGGGCTTTCATCTGAGGGTGTAGTTGCACATTACAGTTAACAGCAAGTCTGTCCCATGCCTGCCTTGCTTGCAAGCTGTCTAGTGGCTGTAGAGGCCGGGGTGAAGAGCAGTGCCCCCTCCCCCACATTGCCCCAATCAGCTCATGCAGCCCTCTGCTCCTTGGATCACCCCCATCTTGCTGCCCAGTGACACTTGGAAGTACTCCCCTCCCTGGATCGGTGCAGCAATCTGAGCAATGCAGGCTGCTTTAGGTGGTGGGAGCAGGGGTGGGGGTAAGCTGTCCAAGCATCAAGGGGCGACACTGTGATCCTCTGCCACCTTTCCCATTTCCACTTGACTGCCTGTCTCCCACACCTGACTCACCCACTGTTGTCTGGCTGTCCCCAGCTGTCAGTTCAGGTGGGTAGAGTTCTGGACGGTAGCTAGTCCACTCTGGGAGTGGTGCCTCCTTGGATAATGAAGGACTGTAAATTGCTAGTGTTAGCCTTGGGGAGCACACTGACATAACTGCAGCACAAGCTGCCTAACACCAGCTGAAGATAGCCCTTGCCTGAAGAGGATTCTCTGAGTTGCTCAGAGGGTACATAGCTTGTCTTTTCCTGCCTTTATGCGTGCACACTCCTGTCTTTAGAGCATTTAACATGTTTTAAAGGTAATGTGCAGCTAGGGTTGCCAACTCTATTTGAATCTATTCCGGGTGGTTTCTAGAATGCCAACATGTTTGTGACACAACGTGAACGTGTCTTCATACTTGATTATATCACTTATGGATCATGATGCGTAGACTTTACGTCAGGAAGGCAAATGCACATTAGTATTACATTTTAGAAACCCACTGGACTACTGTGTAAATTGGATTCAACATTATATATGCTGTGGTTTCTCTTCAGATTGCAAAAATCTTTTGCCTTACTAAAGATTTCCGTGGAAAGGAGCATTTATTTTAATGAATGCCCTGTCATTTATCTCCCAGGTGACTCTCAGCAGTCTCTTGCAGAATTGTATCTAATTCCAGGAGACTCCAGGGCAATTCTAGGGTTGGAAACCCTACGTGCACCTATACCATGAGAGTGAACTGCTACAGAAACTATCATCTCAAGAAAATCGAGGAAAAAATTTGGAAAAATTTACACCTCTATCACCATGGAGAAGTTTAATCTTTTCCTTTTGAAGTAAGTTAAAATAAAGCTGTATAATCAGCGGCACTATTTTTGACATCAGATTGTGAAGAGTGTAGTAGTACATCTCTCTTTATGGTAGAAAGATAAAACTCTCGGTGGAGAAAGATTTTTCAAAAAGGTACAAAACCTTCTGTGATACAAAGAGAGGCAACGCGTGCATTTTAAATCTCAGGCTTTGCGTATTTTTAAGGAGATCAAAATTCCAAGTGAAAATGCTGAAATGCATTATTACATCAGTTTTCTTCCCAAGACTTCAGTCTGACAGTAAACCTTCTGGAGACTTACTGAAGATATCATCAGGGAGAATTATCCAGAGATACTTCAGCTGCAGTTATGCAGCATTTTCAATATACAGTACTCCCTTTTTGGACTTCTGACTTGTACATGAATATTCATAAATGCTCTCCTTATCCTCTCCCCTTTCAAGTAAAATAAATATGCATTTAATGTTGTCTGGACAGCCCTTTCATAATGTTGCAAGGGGCCCAGCAGCCACCACTGAAAACTGAAAAAGACAACAGCTGTCAAAATTTGTGCATCTAGGTTAGCATCACAGACTATCTTTGCATCTGGAGACAATCATATGCCAAATATTAGTATACTTCTTGCAAGAGAAATGTTGATATGGCTTCTGGAGAAATTGATTTCATTAATACAACCAGCATAATTCTTACTTTGCTTCTAGCCATGAGTTGCAGCAAAGCAGTATTTTGGTCCAAATTTTTTTTTGTTCAAATCCAGTATTAGACTCCCTCATTCTTCATATTATTTACCAGCTGCATCTTGGGTTTAGAGAAGATGGTCTTCAGTATCATCTTCAGTACACATACTAGCTCCGATATGTGATTCAAGGAGTTGACTTAAGGAAGAAACATGAAGAACAACCTGTATCATACTATGGACTGCCAAGGTCACTCCTCCATTTCCAGTACATGTCTGGAAACGTATTATTGCTAAGAAAGCAAGAAACCTTCCTCATTGCTTAGAGAAGTCAACTTATACTTGTCCTCTTTTGTTCCTCAAGGTTTAATACAAAGAATGAAAGTAACAGCTGGCTCAGCAAGAGATGCTTGAAATCAAGGGAATTAGTTTTTTATCAGCTAACTTTCTGATACCTCAAGCCAGGATGGGAGCCTCTTGTGTACTTTTTGCATCCCAATATGTTGGAAAAAAATGTATATGAAGAAATGATGCTCCAAAGTAAAAGAAATGATGTTTTAGTCTCAGAATAGGACTGAAATACCTTTTTCTTTTCAGCTATTGATAGTAAAGATGGTAAAGAAGTTTTCAAGGAATAGGCCAAAGGGTAGTCTCCTCATAATTTCTCCTATAGTGAAATAGGCAGGACAAATCCACAAGCTCAGCATCGTTGCAGAAATAGTCGGGCTCAGGATTATTTAAGTGCAAAAATATGAATGGGTGATGCAGAATATTCAACATTCATTATGTAAATATCTCCACATGATATCTTTTGGGTTTGTAGCAATATTAATACCAGATTGCAAATGGTACGGTGAATACCTCCTAAAGCCCATAAAAAACGCTTATTTTATGACATCAAATATAACTGGTCGTTACTGACCAATCAGTTTCTATGCCTGCCTAGGCTCTGTTGATGTAGTCCAGGTTTCTTCATTATAAGGTACAGGTATGGACCTAGGATCATCAGCTGGAAGCAGAGCTCAACTAGATTGCATTCTTACATATGGAAGATGGATGCATTTGATAAAAAATTGTAAAGTGTATAGTATGTTGAATTTGGCTAAGATTGCTGAATCATAAGTATTTATCTGTGACTTTTTCAAAATCTCCTCTTGAAGAAAGACCCTTCCTTGCATTCCTGTATCAAATAGACAGCTATCAGAGAAACTTTACCAAAGTTCTGGAATTAAAAAAAAATGTTGCCACCCTGAGGAGGATGCTCTTGTTGTTAAGGTGGTTGATTATAGGTGGTAGCCTGTAAAGTCATTGCCAGTAGGTCTGCTCTATCATGAATGAGCAAAGATATGGAAGATCTGAGGGCCAACAGAGATCAACCCAATTAAATAAAACTACCAAGGAATTGCAGAACAGTGGAAATGCCCAGAGACTTTCATATCTGAATGACTGCCTACTTAAAGTTAATGAAGATATGATTTAGCAAAGCTAAGAAGAAGTGGAACAGCTTCAGAAACCAGGAAATCTGAAGGGTAGCTACTAGAAACTTAGAGACTTGGCTGGAATTAACTTAATCAAAACAAGAGTGAAGAAAAAAAAATGGTAGCCCAATATCTAGCCAGAGCAAACTTCAGGAATGGAGGCAGTGCTTTCAGGTCTTACTATACAAATGAATAGGTCACTATGAATAAATAAGACTCCTCCCCAGTTTTGACTAACTTTCTCATTCATTGTGACCTTTTCACTGTAGATGAGTTTATGCAAGCTGTTGGATATTTAAAAAGTAGAAAAGCCTGACTACTCAAACATTGTGGCATGGTAGATTAAAGCTAACAAACATTCTCTAAGATTTGTTCTGTGAATCCATGATTAAGGAAATAGGTCCTGAACAAAGGTAGGCTAGCCTGATAGTCCTGATTTCTAAGAAACAAGATTAGGCTAATGTAAGTAAATGAAATAAGATGCCCAGGATAAAAGTCTTAACCTTGGTGTAAATCAGAACAGTCGCTGGTGAAGGAAAGGTCTTGCATCATGTTTTTTTTAAAAACAAGTATCTTAGGTTCTGAAATAGCCAACACTGATCATAACACTCAAAATATATTTTGGCTGTCTCTAGCCATAATTTCATGCAAATACTCCCCCCCCCCCCCAAAAAAAAAAAAAAAAAAATACTTCTTTTTCAACTAAATTAGGCTGTTCAGCATCTCCAGCTCTGCCATGGTCCTGTATGGGTCCCAAACCTGGTTGCTAGTAAAGAAGAAGATGGCTTCCATTAATACTTTTGGCTATACATGCCTATACACCATGCTTGGGTATACAAGGGTGGGCGACATTAGTACTGACTGGCATTTCCATAGTCCATAGCAATGTTCATGGTTCTAATAGTTCAGTGCCCACTGTTAGTTATTTAGGCCATCAACTTCAGCATTAAGATATGCCATATTTTTTGCATTTGCGCTGTATGCCTGAGAAGTAAGGAAGAAGACACCTTAGGATACAGTTCTGTTAAATTCTGGGTATCCTTTTAAGCGTGGGTAATCTTCCTACATTACCAGGAATTTTCTGCCTTATGGAAAACCAGGACTAACAGCAATGGATTGTTGTTCAGAATACAAGACTGTCTGTCAAGCCCATAACATGTGACATGATGATCATTGGTCATTTGATTAGACTGTCCTGATTTGATGTCAAGCTCTGCTACAAATGTTTTTTTTATCTGAAAAGTCCTTTAAAACTTGTGCAGAATGGGCATTTTTCAGCTTTGGAAGTTGCTGTTTTGCAGAGTTCATCCTGAGGGAGCAGACTTAAACCCAGGTTCAGAGTAAAGACCTGCCTGCAGTTGCCGTGGAGGTAAGGGAATGCTCCCGAGCTGTGAAGACTTATTTTACAGGGAAGGAACTGGGAATAAAAACTTAGACATAACACAATTTTAATGAAAATTAAATGTAATCTACTTGAGGTCTCTTAGCTACCTTCTAGTTCTATAGAAGAAGTGCTGTCTTAATAGTTTATTAAATATTTTGATGATTAGCTCTATTATTTTGGTAGACAACTATCTAACCATGGGGATATGTTGTATTTTCATTTCTCTGAGTCGTCATCTCTCTTTTGATACCTCTGTTGCTGGCCTTCTCTTATCTGCCTAGAACAACCCCAAGTAGCTTATGCAGAACTCTTGTAAAGCTGTAGCATGCCTCCATATCCCTTTTGATTTCCTCCTCCCTACGGTGGTGGCCCAGCTGACAGGTCCTCTCTCTGCTGAAGGGTCATGTTTGGCAGGCCTATTATGACTGACAATGGCCTAATTGAATTTAATAGTATTCCCATGAGTTCAAAACCTGTGCATTCAGCATTGCTCCCATGGGGTGGGGGCTGCTGCCTGGCTGTGACCTGCTGTGCACCTGCCAGACCCGGATGGGGACTGCACAGCCCATAGAGGCATCTGCCCCTCTGGGCCAGCTGCCAGTGGACTGTGGTTGCAGGGTTGGCCTCTGTGCAGCACTACTGCCATGTGTGCCCCCTGCCTGGCCATCTGGGCAGCTATTGCCCGGAAGATATTCCAGGTGTGGTGGTCTGCTTTGAACTGTCAAAGCATGTCCACCTGGCCCCAGTTGTTCAGGAGGTCAGCCACAGCCAGCTGGGTCCAAGGTGCCAGCTCTGAGCAGGTACGGTCCTGCCACTGGCCCCCCTAGAAGGAATTCTGGTGTTCCCTATTGGAAAACTGAAAAACCCCTGAATAAAAAAAAAATCCCAAAGTCACTCTGTAAAATACCCCCAAATCCATGTTCCTCCACAAGTAAAACAAAAGACCACTATAGAGAGAGAGTGAAACACAGACAGCGATCAGTTGGACAATGTTTTATTGATATATCTAGTATTAAAGCAAGTCTCTTATAATAATAAAGTGAACTCTAAATACATGTTTCATGAATACACGAATATATATTTTGATGCCCTTCCACAGGGGGCCGGCCCCCACACAAGGGGTTTGGCCCCCACACAAGGGGTATGGCTTCACAACAGGGGGTTCGGCCCCCCCAACAGGGGCCAAATGGCCCCTGCAGGGGCTACCACCCCTCCCTGCAAGGCACACATGCCTCACCCCAGCCCCCGATTGCTGCCCCACCTGGCCCCATCCCCCAAACTTGCAGCGCGTGGAACATTTTTTCATTCCCACACGTGCCTGTTGCCCCTCCTCAAAGGGGTTTGAGACGGGACAAGAGCCACATGCACGCTTGTCTGGACGTGCCCATGGATGTCATTGCTTGAGATCCTTTGTCCTGCCTGTTACACAAGCCCAGAGTTCAGAGAATCATAGAAAATTAGGATTGGAAGGGACCGTAGGAGGTCATCTAGTCCAACCCCTGCTCAAGGCAGCGCCATCCCCAACTAGATCATCTCTGCCAAGGCTTTGTCTAGCCCAGTGGTTATCAAACTGTGACAGATTATGGACCATCTATTTAAAATGATACAACCTTAAGTACCACCAGCAAGCTTCTGTCATATAAAAATAATTATAATAAATCTGTTAACATATACCACTGACAGGCTGTCCGCGTACCACTTGTAGTATGCATACCACAGATTGGGAACTGCTTGTTTAGCCAGGTCTTAAAAACCTCCAAGGATGGAGATTCCATCACTTCTCTAGGTAACCTTTTCCAGTGCTTTACCGCCCTCCTAGTGAGAGAGTTTCTCTAATATCCTACATAAACCTCGCTTGCTGCAACTTGAGACCATTGCTTCTTGTTCTGTCATCTACCACCCCTGAGAACAGTCTAGATGCATCATCTTTGGAACCCCCTTCAGGTAGTTGGAAGTTGCTATTAAATCCTCTGTCTTCTCTTTTCTAGACTAAAAAGATCAGTTCCCTCAGCTTCTCGTCATAAATTATGTGCCTCTGCCCCTAAACATTTTCATTGCCCTCCACTGGACTCTCCAATTTGTCCACATCCTTTCTGTAGTGGTGGGCCCAAAATTGGACACTACTCTAGATGTGGCCTCACCAGTGCTGAGTAGAGGGGGATAATGACTTCCCTTCACCTGCTGGCAATGCTCCTACGAATGCAGCCCAGTATGCTGTTAGCCTTCTTGGCAACAAGGGCACACTGTTGGCGCATATTCAGTTTCTTGTCCACTGTAACCCCCAGGTCCTTGTCTGCAGAGCTGCTGCCCAGCCAGTCAGCCACCAGCCTGTACTGGTGCATGAGATTTTGCACTTGTCCTTGTTGAAACCCATGAGATTTTTTTTTTTTTTGTTGTTTCAATCCTCCAATTCATCTAGGTTTCTCTGAATCCTAATCCTACTCTCCAGCATATCTACTACTACTCCCAGTTTGGTGTCATCTGTAAACTTGATGAGCGTACACTCTATACCAAAGTTCTCTCCTTACTTCACTTTTGCAGTTTAAAGGTATAAATAGTTGGCCTCCTCCCAGTCCTTTCTAATCTCCTGTGATCCTGCTGTTCCTCTGTTACTTTAACCCTATCTCCCAGTCTGCTTTTTCAAGTCTTTTCTGTAATGTGCAAGTCCAAGTTTAGCCCTTGTAGGAGAAACCGATTGTTTCGTGTCAGTTTCTCTGCTGTTCACACAAAGCAGTGACATCCAACTAGACCAGTCAGTTTTCATGCTGTTGCAGCTTGCAAAAGCTCTGAGCAGCAGCACTAGGTGCTGTCTGAATGCAGACCTTGGAAGATAGTGTTGTGCTGGAATATATTCTGCTCAAGTTTAGAAGTTTCTTTTTGCAGTAACAATGGCTGGAAACAACTATGTTGAATGAAGCTGTAGATTTGCTCAAGTTGATAGTGCTGGCTTGAGAGAGCTTCTTCCAGTCAGAAAAATGGATTTATCAGGTGCTGTTCATATTCATTACAGAATCTTCCCGCCCCTCCTCCCTTTGGTTATTTGTTGGTGGTGCTGATTACTGTTACTTGAGCACTTCATTACCAGTAAATATAACACCAGTATCAATGGAAGGCAAAACCTACATCTTCTTTCTGCTACTAATGGGATAATTGCCAATTCAAGTTTTGCCCTCTGGTCAACTCGTTATAAGATGGAGATTCTCTTTTCTCAAAGTGGCTATCCCTTCTCTAAAACATTCTTTGGTGAATGGTAAATTAAGATTTCTTATTTCCCCTGCCTAGATGGTCTAGCACGGGGGTTGGCAATCTATGGCTGAGGGACCAGATTCGGCCCATGGAGCCATTTGTTTCAGCCCATGGGGCTGGGGTTTTGTGTGCATTTGGCTGTGGATGTTCTTCTTGCACTGCTCTGGGGAGAAGCAGCAGCTGCAGGTGGGTCCTAGCACCTGCTTTTCCACCTCTCACCTGAAATATGTTGTTCTGGTTGCCGAATACCATTGTGGAATGGGAAGTGTTTCAGGGAAGCTTTGAATTTCAGCTTTTTTCTATATAACTAGTATTTAATTTCTAGAACCTCGTTCCTCTGTTTCTCTCTGTTCTGAATACTGATATAGACTGTAAATGGAGGCTTTTTTTTAACTTTCTCCATATCATGTAAATGCTCTAGGAGATTCTTCTCTCACACCCCTTCACTGATTGTTCTTGTGATAAGTATGACTGTTCCCCTGTTCCTGATGCCAGGAACCTCTTTTCATGAAAGTTTGCCTGTATAACATTTGATAATACATGTTTGCAAACATCCTTGAAATATGTAGAAATTTAACTTGCTTTTAACAAGGTTTCTGCATGATTATTAAAATAAGATCAAGTAGGGGAATCTTAGCATGAAATATGGCTTATTAAGGCTTATTAAAATGTATTAAGGCATTGTGGTTATACAGAATTAGTAATGGGATATTGAGCCTTTCAACTTGGTGGGTTAAATTATTCCCACATAGGTAATAATCACAAATTATTATTAGCTGTTGGCTGCATGTTAGTCTATATGAAATGGTGGATCATTGTGCTCAGGGAATAATTACCAAATGTTCCCCAGGGGTCTGTTCTGGATCTGGTTTTGTTTAACATCTTCATTAATAATTTGGATGATGGGCCAGCACATGCTTACTGAATTTGCAGAAGACGCCATTCTGGGTGTAGTTGCACACATGCTGGAGGGTGGGGCAAGGATCCAAAATGCCCTGGATAGATTGGAAGAATGGTCTGCTATCAATCAGATGAATTTCAGCAAGGACAAGTGCAAAGTCCTGCGCTTTGGACATAATTGCATGCACAAATGCAGACTGGAGAATGATTGTCTAGGCTGCACTATTACAGAGAGAGACCTGGGGATTTACAGTAGACCAGTGGAGGCCTATCTTTTTGGCAGCTGTGCCACAAATTAGCATTGTACCTTCAGTGAGTGCCACTCCAATCCCTTTCCCTTACCTATTACGCTGCTCAGTGCTCTGCTCCCTTCCCTGTGCTTCCTGAGCAAGTTGCTCTGCTTTCTGCTTCCTACCCTGTGCTGCCTGCCTAATCTAATGCTCTACTTTCTGCTCCCTACTTTATCTACCACTGTGCTGCCTGTTCTCTTCCCAGTCTGCTGTGTGCCACACACAGGCTGCCCATGTCACTTGTAGCACCCATGCTGCAGGTCGACCACCTCTGTAGTAGAGCATAAGATGAATATGAGTCGGTGTGCTGTTGCTGCAAAAACAACTAACCCCATACTGGTTTTGTTTAACAGGAATGTTGCTTGCAACTCTAAGGAAATCTGTCTTCTGCAATATTCAGTACTTGTGAGGCCTCACCTGGAGTGTCCAGATTTGTGCCCTACACTTAGAGAAGGATGTAGACAGTTTGGAAAGAGTTCAGTGCAGAGCCACAGAAATGGAGGGGCCAGGGAGACGAGACTTAAAAGGAAAGGGTGAAAGAGCTCAGGT